TGATTCTGACCTCCCCTACACCAGGAAGTGGCCCTTTAGAATTTAAGTCCTACAAGTTTTTTTAAATACAGGTCATAAAGAAAGAACCAACCATTCGGCTTAGAAAGAAGGCAATTCTAGATAGATGATAGATAGAAAATGTCCTTCCCTGTGCTTTGCCAAGGAGCCTCTGTGGTCATCAGCCAGGTTATGCCAAGAGAGCTCAAGTGAGGAATCCTATGTGGAGTCACATATAAATCTGGGTTCAGGTATCAGGGAACTCGAGGATGGAGAGCAGAAAACTATGGATCATTGAGAGGGCTTGGCCTGCAGAGATCACTGGACCTCTAAGAAGGGACCTATTCTTTTGAGAAAGCCTCTCCTCTAGCCCCCAAGTAGCCGAAAAGGAAGTAACAAGTAGGCTGAATCCCATCTGTCCTTAATGAAGAGTATAAGGAGATCAGAGAGCGAGAAGCTTTCCTTCTAGTTTTTCAGCAGGGTACTGACATTGTTGCTTTATCAGTGCTCTGTCAACAGCTACCCTCCTGGCCAGGGGCACAGAAACATCTAGGTTCTTCATTCTCATAGAATCGCCTCCACATAGACTGCCCCCAGTAATCAGACATGTCAGGAGGGGAGCAAAGAAAGGGAAAAGAAACTTCAGAGAGAAATAAAGGCCTCATCTGGGTCAAGTATAGCCTGAAGAAATGATGAGGGTCAGTGACCCAGTTTCCTTAGCCAAAAATCAGGACACATAGTCTGAAAAGTGATTGAGAATTCACTTATAAGAAAGCCGTGTCAAAGAAAGAATACATCATTGAATGCATTGTTAATTTATTCATTCCCTTAAAGGAGTTAATATAATTAAATGAAATTAGAGAATTCTGTAAATCTCAGACTTATGGTCATCATGAACGAATACAATGTCTCCAACAAGACTTCGATTGATGGAAGGAAATAGAACGTGTATATGATGGTCACCCTGACCTCATTTCTTTTTTTTTTTTAAAGATTTTATTCATTTATTCGACAGAGAGAGACACAGTGAGAGAGGGGACACAAGCAAGGGGAGTGGGAGAAGGAGAAGCAGGCTTCCCGCTGAGCTGGGAGCCCAATGTGGGATTCGATCCCAGGACCCCGGGACCATGACCTGAGCCGAAGGCAGACGCTTAACGACTGAGCCACCCAGGCACCCCCTGACCTCATTTCTATCTCCCTTCCTCTCTTGTCCAACATTTCCCCCATATACCTTGCAGGTGTACTTGGCTGGTTCTGTTCTGTGACTATGAAGTAGAGGCCACATATTGAAATTCAAGTAACTATGCCCTATTTCTTTCTCTCCAATCTCTCTTCTCTTTATTCTCTTTTCTCCTCTCTCTATAAATATGCCCATTATTTTTCTCCCATTTCATCTTCTCACCTCCTTTTTTCCCTGTTTTTCTAATCTCAGAAGAGGTATAACAGAAGGTAGAAATCATTGGAATAATTTTGAAGTGAGAGTAAAGGCTCATATTTTTTTTTTAAGATTTTATTTATTTATTTGACACAGAGAGAGAGAGAGAGATCACAAGTAGGAAGACAGGCAGGCAGAGGGAGAAGCAGGCTCCCTGCTGAGCACGGAGCCTGATGCGGGGCTCGATCCCAGGACCCTGGGATCATGACCTGAGCTGAAGGCAGATGCTTAACGACTGAGCCACCCAGGCGAAAGGCTCATATTTTATAATTTTTAGTCATAAACACCAAAACGGTAAATTAGTAATGTAACTGTTTTCTCCTGGATGTTCCACCTTTCCCTTTGCTCTAGATGATGCTCAATTCTGCTTCGAGTCCTCTCTGTCACACCCATCAGAGCAGCAGACCGTCCTCACAGATGAATATATGGCGATCTCCCTGTCCTGACAGGGTATGACTAGTCCAGATGCTCTCCTAACTGCCGCTAGCCCTCATTCAAATTTTCACTAACTTTCAACAATCTCAGAACTAGAGGAAAAAGGTTGCTCATTTAGAGTAATGCCTAGAGTGCCCCCTACTGGTCGAAAACCAGGCTGGGTTTTGTTTTTTGTTATTTTTTGTTGTTTTTTTTAAGTAAACTGGTTTCTTCGTCAAAATGCCATTTAATAAAGGTTACTATCTTTTTTTTTTTAAAGATTTTTATTTCTTTATTTGACAGAGAGAAAGAGCACAAGCAGGGGGAGTGGCAGGCAAAGGCAGAGCGAGAAGCAGGCTTCCCGCTGAGCAGGGAGCCCGATGTGGGGCTGGATCCCAGGACTCTGGGATCATGACCTGAGCCGAAGGCAGTCGCTTAACCAACTGAGCCACCCAGGCGCCCTAAAGGTTACTATCTTAAAATATTTTGTCAAATTGCACCTTCAGGGTTGCATGTAATTTCTCTAATCTATTTAAAAGTAAGTCCACAGCAATTTATTGAAGGTCTTCTTAAACTAGATCTTGTGCTGGTCTTAAGAAATCAATGGAATATTATGCAGCCATCAAAAGGAATGAGATCTTGCCATTTGCAATGACGTGGATGGAACTGGAGGGTATTATGTTGAGCGAAATAAGTCAAACAGAGAAAGACATGTATCATATGATCTCACTGATATGAGGAATTCTTAATCGCAGGAAACAAACTGAGGGTTGCTGGA